TTGCCTTGCTTAGATTATAGTTCACACCTGGTTAGCGTTGCTATAATTTTGGAAGTCAAGATATTTTTTTAAATGTTGGTTTTGTCAGAAAGAAATGTTTTTGATATGCCTGGCTCTGTTGATTCCCAGGGAGACAGGAGGTAATGAGGCAGGCTGGCTAGATAAATAAATTAGATAAATAATAAGAATATTAGGATTACTTTTTTTTTTTAGAAATCCTGAGCTTTTTGTCTGTGTACTGCTATGATAGCATTTATGGTGTGCTTTAAGGTTCGTAAAGCACTTCGTTTATGTTCTCTTATTTCATCCTCACAACACTGTGAGGTAGGTGCTATTATTATCTCCATTTTACAAATGAAAAAACTGAGGTCGAGAATAAATTACTTTTACAAGATTGTACAACTAGGAAACATCTGAGGGAAGATTCGAACTTGGGTCTCACTAATTCCAAGTCCAACATTGTGTCCAATGGGTCATTTAGTTACTTCTGAGGGTTCCTGTCACCCCCTACCTCTAGCTGCCGCTCAACTCAAACAGGAGCAGTTTATCCATAAGTCTTTCATAATCCTTGGCTCCCATCTCTCTATGTCTATGTCTGTTTATCTCTGTCTCTCTGGGTCTCCCTCTTTGTCTCTTTACTTCTGTTTGTCTCTGAAAGAATTGAGATTATGGGTAAGAAGTCATTCAAGGCATAATACCAGGGGAAGGGGGAAATAATGGCATACCAAATGACATTTTGAAACCTTATTTCTTACAAATGCCTATATTTTAGTGTCCTAAAAGTCTGCTCTCCATACTGCATGGGTTTTTACTTTATGCTAAGTCTAGAAATTAATCTTCTATTACAGACAACATTTTTGTGGTCATGCAGCTGACTGAAAGGTTTAGTGAGTACGAGATCCTACTGTGTTTGCTGTTTATTGATTTCATAAAAGCATTTCACTTTCTACATAAAAATACCTCCTGGAAGGCTTTCCTGGGACAAGATGTTTTCTTCTAGTCACACTGAAGCCATATATTACACCGTGATAGGTAGAATTATGGAGATAACTAATGTTGACATCAGTGTGAAAAACAAAACTGCATATATCTGTCAAAAGGGTTCATCAGAGTCATGGAGGATAAGACCCAAACAAAGATTTATCATTGGTTGTGAGGTTCTCCAAAAGCTTCTGTTACTAGATGACATTATGTTATTTACATCAGATCCAACACAGAACACTACAAGAACTCCTCAGCGAACTCCATAGAACTAAGAGAGACATGGATCTAACAATATACATTGGAAGAACCAAAGTAGATGAAAACAAATATTGCCCAAGTTCTGGCATGCAAAAACCCATTGAATTAGGCCATTAAAATATTCCGGTGAATCTGTGATCTCATCAATGTAAAGATGCAGTCCAGTGATGTAGACTGTAACCCATCCATGCCTGCCCATGGGGTTCCATCTTATGTGTTGAGGGCCTTCCTCATGTTCTCTTGACATGGCAAAGAAGTCCCTTCTCTGGATACAAATGAGCAGCTCACCTATTAATTGTCATCCCAGTTGCCTGCAGCATAGAAGGTAGAGGCCCATGTTTATACAACAGATATGTATCAGGGCAGGAATTGAGCTTGTTACATATAAAATTGATGCTTAAAGGGAGAAATAAATTGTCCAGGGTCAAAAGCCTAACAAATGTCAACACAAAGCCCACAGACATTGTCACAGATTTCAGAACTAAAAGCCGTCACTGAGGTCATCTAGCCCATTCCATATCCAAACAATAACGCTCCTTACAATGTACTAAATAGGTAAACATCCAGTCTTGAGTGGAAGACATCTAGCCACCATCTTTTAAGGCAACGCATTACTCTTTCATGTAGCTCTATTTTTGAGGAAGCCATTTTTATACATTCTGCCAAAATTTCCCTCGCCATTCCTTGTTCTGTCTTCTGGGGCCAAGCAGAACGAGCTTGACCCCTCCTCCATGGAACTGTCATTTAAATATGTGAAGACAGCTGCCACATGCCTCTAAAGTCTTCTGTTCTTTAGATAGACATCCACAATTACTTCCATTCATCCTCTCCAAAACAGAACTCAATATCTTTTTCCTCAAAACCTTTCCCTTTTAACCTCCTTATTTCTATTGAATGCAGTTTACCATCTCAGTCATCCTTTTATACTTCACTCTCCCACAGTTACAATATCCAAGCAGTTACCAAGGTTTGTCAACTGTATTTTCACAGTATCTCTCACTTCATCCCCCTTTCTCCATTCTCACAGCCATCACCCAAAGGTAAGACTTTACCATCTGTTTCCTGAAATATCGCTATGGCCTCCAGTTTCTCCCCACCCAAATCCTTCCTCCACGTGGTGATAAATTGAAGCCTCTAAAGCAGAGATTCGACATGTCTCTTAATTGCTCAAAAGCACCTGTGGCTCCCTATTTCCCCTGAGATTTAAAAAAAAAACTCCTTGGTTTGCCTTTCACAAGCCAATCTTTCCAGATTTATTGTCCATTTGTTGTTGGTGGTAAGTCATTTCTGTCGAGTCTGGCTCTTCATGACTCCATTTGGGGTTTTCTTATTAGCAAAGATACTGGAGTAGTTGGCCATTTCTTTCTCCAGCTCATTTTACAGATGAGGAAACTGAGGTAAACAGGGTTAAATGGCTTGCCCAGAGTCACTCAGCTAGTAAGTGTTTGAGTTGAACTGAGGAAGATTAGTCTTCCTGATTCTAAATCTAAATAGTGCTCTATCCACTGTGCCACCTAGCTGTCCTGTTGTACATTACCTCCCTTATAAGAACTGGCCTATCCAGATGACCTGGATTCAAATCCTACCTCTGGCTTTAAATAAGTAACCTTGAGCAAGTCAGTTAACTGCTCAGCTGAAAAGAGTAACTAGGTGGCACATTGGATAGAACATTGGACCTGACGTCAGGAAGACCCAAGTTCAAATCTGGTCTCTGACGCTGTCCATGAGACTTTGGATAAGTGACTTAAGCTCTGTCTGCCTCAGTTTCCCTATGCCTGTGCTTTGTTTTCTCAACCCCTCATAGGGTTGTCGTGAGGATAAAATGCAATAATATTTTTAAATCACTTTGAGAACCTTAAAGAGCTATATTAATGCTAGCTATCATTATTATCTATATGAAGAGGGAGGACTAGATGATCTGAGATCCCTTCCAATGATACATAGAGTATCCTATGATCTCAAAAGAATTAAAATTACAAATGACTCAAAGGAGATTTGAAAAACACTTGCTGGCTCCAAGCAGAATGGAGTAGGTTACCCATATCAATTTATATTTACAATATTGTGGATTCTTCAAAGATGATGTATGTGTCACAGCACAGCCTCAAAGCTCTTGGTGGACTGTCACATATAGAAAATGTAATTTCCACTGCCTGGGATTGAAATTCTCAAACTTCATCATTGTCTCTGCATTTCTTTCCCCTCTCCCCCTCCCCCACATCATTCTTACAGCTCCTTTCCATAACTTTGGGTTTGAAGCCTTACAGGTTCCATGTACTTTTAAACTTCTCTAAAGAGATGCAAAGAAATATTTTCTTTCCTAGTCCTCCCTGCAGGAGATGGGGTTAACAGCCAGCCTGCCCACCCTCCAAATTCTCTGGGCATTTAGACAACCTTATCAGCCCCTCCCCCTGCAAAATCCAAATGCTTTTTTTTTTATTTAACCTTATATCTGTTGCATTAGAGTAAACAGAAAGTTAATTTGTGTTTTAAATTAATTTCTATCCTCTTTGCTATTTATATTACAAATACTACCTATAGCCCATCTCTACCCAGGTATCTGTGGTGCACCAGATAGAGCCCCAGGCTTAGAATCAGGAAGCCTTATCTTCTTGAGTTCAAATCCAGGCTCAGATACTTACTAGCTATGTGACCCTGTGCAACTCTCTTGACCCTGTTTGCCTCAGTTTTTCATCTGTAAAATGAGCTGGAGAAGGAAATGGCAAACCACTCTATTATCTCTGCCAGGAAAACCCCAAATGGGGTCACAAAAAGTCAGACAACTGAAACAGCCAAACAATAGTCTTGCCAACCCCAACACTCTCAACTGCAGGTTCATTATCTTGCTCCTCTTTCCAACCATAACCAGTCTACATTTTGCAGTTTCCCGATAGCTTAGAACATGGTAAGTTCTGAATGTAATATCTGTACTCAGGCCCTTATTTGGGTATTGATCAGACAATAAATGAATGGGGCCTTTTCATTAAAATAATTTTCTCCTACGGTGACCAATTTAAAAATAAACTCATTTAAAAAATGCACCTATATACCTTAAAATAGAAACAAGAACTTGGAATTTGGCCCAGGTAGCTTTAACAGCATTTTTAAAGGACAAAAGAAATCTCATTTAATATCTGTGAGTGCAACATGTAGACTTTTGCCAAAGACATACCACTTATTTTTCTATCCCTGAAAGTCTGTTGATGATATAATTTTTTTAGAAGTAATTTATAGTACTTCTTTTGAATTTTAGTAAAAATAATCATCCCTCTTTTAAACAAGTATGTCCCTTTATCCAGTTGAAATACAAATTAGATCAGAATTCATTTGGGAATAAATTAAGTTGTGAAAGACAAGAAAGGTGTTTGGGTAAGTAGGACAGTATTCTATTCCTTGCTCTGAGTATCCTGGCGTTATATCTCTGTAATTTCATATCCTCAATGCATGAAATGGTCAGCTCAATGCAAGACTTGCTTTATGAAGTTTCTTTGTATTTCTTTCTATTCTTGACATCAGGACGGCTAAGTGGTTCAATGGATAGAGCACTGGGCCTGAAGTCAGAAAGACCTGAGTTCAAATCTAACCTCAGACACAAGCTGTGTGACCCTGGGCAAGTCACTTAACCCAGTCTGCCTCAGTTTCCTCATCTGTAAAATGGGCTGAAGAAGCAAATGGCACACCACTCCAGTATCTTTGCCAAGAAAACACAAATAAGGTCACAAAGAGTCGCACACAACAATTCTTGACATCATTCATAGTATCTGTCACCTTACTGTTTTTATTAACCTGTGACTTTGCAAAACAAGTCCAAAAGAGACCAGAGAAATATTTTTCTATTTTCAATTATTCTTCCATTAGAATTGTTTTCTATAGTAAATCTTCTTAGTGTCCTAGCAAAGAACAGAAACAAAACATACAAAAAATTATGAGAACCTCTTTCTTATAGTTATATAACTTTAAATTTCTTGCATCATTTATTTCTGTTCCTATACTCTTAAACTGCTTCAAAGTTCCCTAAGAGGTCATATCTGGATTCTTACCAAGATTCTGTGAAAAATGGAGAGTTCTTACAAATTCACCAAGTCCCCCTTTTAAATGAAGTTTTTAATTGCTCTTTTTCCCATGGGTGCAGCAGCACGTTTCAGAATACATCCACATGGCTATTGCTGTTTCTTTGAAGCCTAGAAAATATGAAAGCATAAAGAAGGGTGATGGTTGAAATGGAGAGAGAAAAATTTCCAATTCTGCTCCCTCCTACTGGTTCTTCAAGGCTAGTCAGTTCAATTAAATACAAAAAGTGACCTGCTTACAGGAGACAAGAATGCTGTTTCTACAGATCCAACTCTTCTCTGTGTTCATTGTAGTTTCTGGGCTATACTAGGGTGGTTTGTACTTATTCAATTCACCTAAAGGGAAAAACGTTAGATCCAAAGGAAAGACAGCTTTCATCCTCAAAGTACATTTTAATAGCCATGCATGCTTTATTCTATTTGCCTTCTCATCCTTATAAAAAGATGGCACCTCCCTGATTCAGTTGGGCTGTGTGTTATCTTTCCAACTGTGTGAGTTGATGTGATTCTTACACCGTGTAGCATCACATGGTCCCTCTATAAAGCCAGGGAAAGAATGGCATCCAGGCAGATTAATTCTCCCAGCATGGAGAGAACATGATTGTTTTATCTTGTACAGCTATGAAGATAACACATGGCACCATGGTATGTATGTTCTTCATTTGTGGAATTCGGTTACCAACTAATGTTATCATGGAGACCCCTGAAATAGAAACCAGTAGGGATGATAAATTGTCTAATAAAACTAACCAAATAAGTGAATGATAAGCAACTATATGGCTTAAAAGCATTCCAGGAGTTCCATTTACATTTTTTTGGCTAGGATTTTTTTTTTTGCATCCATAAAAGTATCATTGACATCCCTACTCCCATGTCCCTCACCCTCCACTCAGGTGAAAGCACTAGATCCTTCCTCAGATTTTCCTAGGTCATCCTGCCTGAATCTCTCCTTTGCCCCTAAAAAAATTCTATTTTGGATTATAGGATTTAGATCTGCAAGGGACTTCATAGGTCACTAATCCAACTTCATTTTCTCATAAAGAAAGTGACATCCAGAAAGTGAAGTGGCTTATCCAAAGTAACATAGATAATAATAAATGACAAAGATAAAAACGTGAACTCATGTTCTGATTCTAATTCTAACTTTTTTCCCACTGTACAACTATGTCATGTACTCTTCCCTGCCCCTCAATAAATTGTAAGCTCTTTTAGGACAGAGAATATATTGTTTTTCAGTTTTTTTGTTTCAGTCATGTATGTAGCACATGTGTTACATGCCGTACACAGTAGAGACTGGCTTTTCCTTGGATGAATGAATAATTTTAGTACCATCATTTTTCCCAAGTGAATTTTTTTTTTTGCTGATGCAATTGGGCTTAAGTGACTTGCCCAGAGTCACACAGCTAGTGACTATTATGTGTCTGAAGTCAGATTTGAACTCGGGCCCCCCTGAATCCAAGGCCAGTGCTCTATCCACTGCTCCACCTCGCTGCACCCCCCCAGTGGATTTTTAATTGCTTTATGGAGACCCAGAAAAATATCTTAAGAATATGGCAACTCAGCAAAGCAATTTATGAGAATGATAAAGTTAAACATTACTTAATAGGCAGTTTCCTAGTAAATTCTTTTCTTAAAAGGAAGTTATCTTTGATCTCAACAATTTCTAAGATGAGAGATAAATGTATTAGTCATCAGGCTCATCTGATGAGAAAAAAATAAATGCATTGAAATTAATGAATGCTATACAGGAGAACCTAAAGGCAGAACTTAATCTTTCAGGTATTATGTTGACTATAACTAATTTGTAAATTGTAGTATTTTCTTCAGTAGGGTAAAATTACTCACTCGTGAAGTGTTATAAGCTGCTTGGCAGGAGGGAAAGATGAGTTCCTCAAATTAATGGAAAGGGAAATGACATTTCTTTCTTTGTTTATTGGGGATTATGGAAAAATATCACTAGATCATAACAGAAATGGTTACAATTTAACTACCCTAAATTGTGTTGTGGGTAAAAAAGAATAGAAAGTAAAAAAAATAGTTATAATTCTGAATTTGCTTTATTCTATATGCATTTTTAAAATAATCTCAGTTAAGTTTATTATATCAATGTACTTGGCTTACAAACCTTGCTATGTGAAATAAATATGTAAGCATCTCTCTTCTTTTTAGTAATTTTAGTCCCATTATTAAGTCAGTCCAAAAGCATCAGTGAATTGAAAGGAAGGATATTAAGGGCTTCTTAAAAAAATTTAAAAATAAAAAGAACACCTTCCCCAAAGGATTATAGCTAGAAGTCCTTCCAAGTATTTAAACTGTTGACATTTCTCATTAATCTGAAGCTGATTGGGCTTTGATCTGCATATTATGTCTTGGGAAGAAAAGATTACCATACTATTATAGTGAAGTTTCGGGCTTTATGTTTATCAAGTAATGTCTGTTTAGTCTATTAACTTTGAAAATGATATCCATGGATTTTCTGTTTGTCTTCCCAGAGGCATTATGATAAAAGATTATATACAAAGTTATTTCTAGTAAAAGCAATAAATCTTCCTAGGCATGATCAAAGCATAAATGTTCTGTTTTTTAATTGTTTCTGATAGCCATTAGTAATAGCAAGTAGTTACAGAGGTTCCCCTGATGAGTAAAATTCTGGGGGGAAAAGTTAAAAATTCTAAATAGTCTCCATTTCTCTAGAATGGTTGGAGGTTAGTTAAATACTATGGTTAAACAATATGCAGTTTCATCCTTCAACAGACATTAATGAAATGTTTTCTTTATTCTGGGTACTGGGGGTTACAAAGATTAAAATAAAGAGGTTCCTGACCTCAGGGTTCTTACAGTGGTGTAGGAATGACCTGAGATGGACACAGATAAATAGAATGCAAATTAAAGTATGCTTATTCCATAAGATGAGATCAGGAGAGTATAATGATATCAGATGAAGAGAGAGAGATCACTTTTGGCTGAGGAAATTAGAAAAGGCTTCACAAAAGAAGCTGAACCCTTGCAAGAGAAGTGAGATGTCAAGAGGCAACGAGGAGGGTAAGTTATCCCAAATACAGGGAAGAGTATAAGCAAAGCAAAGGTGGGAAAGCATGGCACCGAGTCAGAAAATAGCGAGTCACCCAGTTTGACTGAAAGACATAGTAGAGGAGGCAGATTAGTGTGAAATAAGCCTAAGGAGGTAGGTTGGAGTCCTATTATAGTGATCTTCAAATGCCAGGGTAAGATTTTTTTTTTTGACATGAGCAGAATATTGTGTTAGGTAGGTTTATCCGCCAGTGGCACACAGGAGACATTGGAAAGATTTTTTTTAGACAGATTTAATCATCTATCTAAATCAGGCAGTCGCCTTGCTTTTATTAAGGCCCTTGTCAAAGAAAGGCAAAAAAGCCCTCATCTCAAGGAACTCCCAGTCTAATGGGGGGGGGGGGACGACAATGTGCAAATAACTGTGTACAAGCAAAGTACATGCAGGATAAATTAAGAATAGTGTCAGAGGGAAGGCGCTAAGATTAAGGAGGACTGGGAAAGGAAGGTTGCTGAAGGTGAGACTTGAAGGAAGCCAAGAGGCAAAGATGAGGAGGGAGAAAATTCCAGGCAGAGAGGAAATGAAGGGTTGTGTGGCAGGAACAGTAAGGAGACAGTTTGATTACTTCTTCCTGACTCTGGCTGTAATTCTAATAACTACAACTAAGAAAACTGTGCTAATTGGTGCCATTTTTGAGGAGTGGAATGAGAATTTGTTGTTCCATGCTAAATGGACTTGGCTTACCCTCTAGTAGAAAAGATCTTAGGAAAAACTGGAGATGGAGCCATCTGGGAATAAAAACATATTAGTCCAACGACAAATTGGGTCCTCCAACCGGAGATCCCACTTTGTCCTACCTGACATTCTCTTACTTGTTCCTTCTAAACTATGGTGACCTAACTCATAATTTTGCTTATCGCTAGACCTACAGTACATAGAAACAACACATATTTTACGTAGGTTGGGGTAATTTCCCCTTAAGAAAGCCAGGACACCGTCTTGACCTGGACAGTTAAAGATATAAAAAGGCAGCCAGGTGGTATAGTGGGTAAAGCATGGGGCTTAGAGTCAGGAATACCTGAGTTCAAATTCCTTCTCTGATACCTGCTACCTGTGTGACCGTGGGTGAGTCACTTAACCTCTGTCTGCCACAGTTTCCTAAATAGTAAAATGGAGGATAGAAAAGGCAGGGTTGTTGTGAAGATCAAATGAGATATTTGCAAAGCATTTAGCAGAGTGCCTAGAACATAGAAGGCATTGTATGAATGCCAGCTAGTATCATCATCATCATCATCATCATCAGTAGTAGTAGTAGTAGTTGTTGTTATTGTTGTTGTTACTGTTCAGTCATTTAAGTCATGTCCAGCTGTTCATAACCCTCATTTGGGGTTTTCTTGGCAAAGATACTAGAGTAGCTTGCCATTTCCTTCCCCAGCTCATTTTACAGATGAGTAAACCAAGGCAAACAGGGTTAAGTGACTTGCCCAGGGTCACACAGCTAGTAAGTGTCAAAGGCCAGATTTGAACTCAAGTCTTCCTGACTCCAAGCCTGGCCCTCTCTCTCTTTGCACTTCTCCCCACTCCATGTACTTGTTGCCCCATAATAGTGGTAGCCCAGATTATATAGACTCAGAATTCTGGAGGTTTTACTGAAATGTATGTTGCCTTGTGGAGACATTCTCTTAACCATGATTCTGATGGTCACTGAGACACAGGTTTTTTTTTAATTTAATTAGGAATTGTATATTTTTGAATTCTCTCTTAGGTAATTGTTTTTATTGTGTTTTATGACCTAATGAATGTCTCTTTGCCTTCTAATCCCAAGCCTGAATCACTAGACTTTCTTTAGTTAGGACTGGTCCTGAATATCCACCTTCAGACCTAGTTTGATTCCTGATTTTGGCCCTACATTAGTACCACGCTGCTTCCTACCTCTGTCCCTTTCATTTCCAAAATTCATCTGTCCAATTCATCACCTTAAATTTTTCACACTGATTCTTGACTTCTTGGCTATGTCCCATCCCTACCATTTGCTTATGGAGTGGAGGGTTTATCCAACATAGAATCATAAGATCCTGAACTTAGGGCTGGAAAGGACCTTACAGGTCACTGAGTCTACACCTCTGGTTTTGCAGATGAGGAAAGTGTTGCCCAAAGATACTTATTCAAGGACACACGGTTAGTTAGAGACAAGTGGGAGATTCAAACCAATATCCCCTAATTTCAAAACCAGCCCTCATTCTATTTATTCTAGACCATTCTCAGTCCCTAGGACTTAGCCCCATCTAGGTATAGGACTCAGAAAGCAGAAGAAACAATAAAGACTTGATGAAAAATATAATTAAACATGTTCTTCAGTCTTTTTTTTAAACTTCTAAAATATTTCAGGTTATTGTATAGCTCCAACCTTAGTCTAAATTTTCT